AATAACAGTCCCTGGATTTTTAAAAAGAACGCACAATTACAGAAACCGTTATCGGCAAATAATTTTTGTAGCAACTAAGGAGAAATTCCTGGAGCGTGTGTGCATCTGTATATGTAAAGGGGGAAATCTACCATGTAATATGTAAATGGCCCATAAATTGTAATTAAGGATGCACAGAAATGACATTTTAAAAATGTGTCAGGCCGAAACCGAAAATGACTTTTTTTCTTCCAACCTTTTTTCTTTTATTTTTTAAACATTTTTATTATTATTTTTCTTTTATCTTTACGTTTAGGGGCTAAACAGACCCCTGATAGTTCCCTTTTAAAATGGAAAAAGAGATTGAGGACACAGTCCTCAATCTCTTTTTCTGCAGCCCCTGTTATGAATGAACAGGAAGCCTCTATACTGAGTGCTCCTGTCCATTCATAAACTGGGGAGATAGTAACTGATACTATGTCCACAATCATGAATGAACAGGACGTGATGTAAAGCACTTCTTGTTCATTCATAACTGGTGAGTGCTTAATGACTGTTCTCCATCCTCACTGCTCCGCCTGTCACAAGAGACAGAGCTCTCCTCCCGCACCGCCCTCTCGGCCTCCTGACAGCTTCTCTCTTCCCTGCTGGGCTCCGGCAGCTGGATTGGCTCTGTTTCCCCTCCAATCCCTGCTGACACAGGCGGGGGAGAGCAGCAGGGATCGGAGGGGACACATATAGGTGCCCAGGAGGTAGGAGAGAAGCAGGGATGGACTGCATTTTCAAACATTTTGGTACTATCAGCATTTTTCCCATAGTACCATTTTCGGACGAATTTTGGTGCATTTCTAATTGTAATAGATAAATCCTATGTTCAGCCATAGTTGTAGATTCATAAAATATACAAAGGCAATAGATGTGCAGTTCTTCATGTATAGGAAAGCTCTTTCTTCCATACATCTTTTGAACTTTTGGGGTATTCTTCTGAAAGATAAGTCTGTGGCAAAGTCTCAGAATAGAGGATCAGTGACTCAGGTGCCACTACTGTGTAGCCTGGTTTTCTAGTAGACCTCAAGCAGCCATGACAGCTCTGAATAAGTATTACCAGATGGATACGTGTAAGTAGAAGCGAGAATCATTAAACCATCTTGTGGTGGGTTGGCAAATCCAGTAAATTTAAGAGTTTTTTTGATACATCTTTACATTATTTATGCTGTTACTGGAAGCAGGTGGATAATTGAATTGCCAAATTACTCTGTTTAGTACATACAAATTGTTTCCTCAACCTTTTCCTTTTATGTTTTGTGCCTGTACGTCACCACAAACGTTAAAGTGGCTTTTCAAATGAATTTTATTAGTAATTGCATTGGCTTAGTGCTTCTAACCACCTTTATACTAGCAGACTAATGGGCTTATTTTACCAGCATCCAACAGAATTTTCTTTTTCCGGTCTTTTAAGGTTTAGTCCCATTTTAAATCAAGCAAAGATGTTCAATGTAGCTCATCCATCCAAAATGCATAGCTAACAATTGATCAACAGAACGTTGATGGCCAGAAGTGTCTACATGCTCTTTCAATTTAGTGTTTTGTTTACATTGAAGGGTGTCCTACTGCTCTTGCACAAATGGATCCAATGAAATTATCTTTAGATAATGCTTGACAGTGTTATGTGCAGTGATTGGATAGAACGAGGGGGGCCGGAATCTTGAGCGGTTGTAGACAATAGACCAAAGAAAACCTGTCCATTGACCTATATATTACCTCTACCATTGCTTTTATGGTCCTTTCCCCTTTTCTTTGTTCTTCCTCTTTAGAAGACGGGTGACATCATTAATCGAGTCTCGTGTAGAAATAGCGGTGTCTATTTTCTGGACAAAGATGCTGGCCTAGAAATGTATGCAGCATGTAAATCACAATGCCCTCACAAAGGCCTCCTGGCAGCTTCTCTCCCCCTCGCTGGGCTCCGGCAGCTTGATTGGCTCTGTGTCCCCTCCAATCCCTGCTGACACAGGCAGGGGAGAGCGTCGGGGATCGGAGGGGACAGAGACAAGTGCCCAGTGGGGAGGAGAGAAGCTAGGGATGCAAAAAAATAAAACAAAGATCTAAAGCGCTGCTACCAGTGGAAAAACAGAGTTTAGGGGGTGTTGAGGCCTGGAGGGCTAGGGGAATGCAGGATGTGAGTGACAAGTTCTCCGTTGGATGACAAAGGCGTAAGGGAGAGAAAGATAACAGTTGTAACATGGGGGATGGTACCATGTGTAAGAAGTGTAGAAACTCACCTTGAGGTTTTCGTGAATGTGCTGTCATCGACGTCAGGATCTCTGGGGAGGTAGACCCACAGAGCTAGGTCAAATGCGCTTTTTCCCTTCTTAATGGGGGAGGGAAGCCCATGCACAGAAAAGGCGATAAGGTCTCCTCAGATCACAGGTACCAGTATAAATCCAGGTGGAAAGAGAAAAAGGACAAGGACATAGTGCGTAACGTCCAATAAAATGCAATTTATTAAATAAAAAATGCGTACTCACAATGGTGGAAACAGTACAGGCATTGGGTATTGCTGGATCAGACCAGCAGGGCAAATGGCAGCAAAGCGATAAAAAAAACCTGTTCGTCCGGCTCAGCTCAGTGCAGTGACATCAGAAGCTCTGCCCTACGTACGTTACGTCAAAACACGTGACTTCATCAGGGGTCTGGGAAGCTAGGGATGCACCACATTTTCAGCCATTTTGGTATTGTCAGCATTTTGCCCATAGCACCATTTTCGGCCGAAATTTTGGTGCATTCTTAATTGTAATAAATCCTGTGCTCGGCCATAGTTGTAGATTCATGAAACATACAATGGCAATAGATTTGCATTTAAGGTTAATGTATAGGAAGGCCCTTTCTTCCATATATATTTTGAACTTTTGGGATATTCTTCTGAAAGATCGAGTCTGTGGCAAAGTCTCAGAATAGAGGTTCAGTGGCCGAAATTTGTATGCAGTAGCTTTTATGTTCTTCTTGTGCATACTCCTGTTATGTCATAAATTGTATGTTGAAATAGTATTTATTCAGGCAATGTTACTGATAACATTATTGTTAATTAGTGGGGGAACAGCATGTGCTAATACAATGTGCCTTAAGAATGGGCACTTGCATTAGCACATGCTGTTCCCCCACTAATGCACTCATAAACGTTGTTCAGGACAACAAACCTTTTGAAAGTGAAGTGTTGATTATAGTGAATATCTAGAAAGGTTATTTGATCTAAGCAGTACCCTGAAATATCTCCCATTTTGCTATGAATCTGTAATGAGAAATTGCAACGCACCATTTAACATCACACAGTGCCTAGGCTCTGCTGTGTCTGCAATGTGAGCTCATTTAGGGCATATACTCCCCACTCCTCCCTCTGATGACTTCAACATTTACGGGATTTGGAATGTCTTCTTGTGCACTGCAGTGACAGTAGGTGATGTCACTTCTCTGTTGCATGTTGTTCTTGGGCTGTATCGGAGACATTGCAGTGCAAGAATCTCCTTCCTTCATGTATCTTGGGCGCCACTGCTATTTTCAGACCCTAAGAAAGTGCCTACCACACCATGAGACGGTATTCCTGCCCCACTTTAGGCAATGGCCGCTCTGGGCAAAGGCTGTTAGTTGTTTACATCTGATAATGCAGGACAGCATTATGGTCTTGTAGTCATACCTTTTATCAATAATATATCAATAATTACCAACTGACCTTTTATCCAATTAAGTCTAGTGCTTTGAATGCAAAGTTTTACAAGCAGTGCTCCTTCTTTAGCAAATATATATTGATTACCTCGTTTAAACTCATGCTCTTGGGGGCTTGTGTTTCCTGTTTGGAAAAGGTCGAGTGAAATCTTGAGCTATTTTAGAAGATTCCTGAAACCAGAATAGCTAAGTAAGCCTAACTCTCTATTTTCTTTAGCATGAAAAGTTTACAAGTCAATTCCAGTTTTCTCAAAAGCAATTTGAAACTGAAGGATCGAAATGCAAGAGCGCAGATACAAAGGCAAATGTTTCTGCAGACGTTCATCACAAAGCTTTGGAGACACTGAAGTCAGAAGAAAAGCTTGCAGGTTGCATGATTTATTTCTTAAGTTACTTTTTGTGTGTGTGTAATCTTTATTAAAGGTCACAGAATGGTTACAGATGTTGAACATCAAAGCTACACATTTCTCTAGAGGTATCACAGAAGAACAGCAGCAGTGTTGCTTCTTAAGTCTTCTTAGTATGGTGTGACTAATGTTACATAGAAGTGGGCAACACTGATTAAAGCTGGGGAGGGGGTAGGTAAGATGGGTTGCTGGAGGTACCTAGGAACAAGTAGGAAGTAGGGGGAAGGGGCGGAGAAGTTAAACCATAAAAAAAGAACAGTAAAGTAGATACTAAAAGACCTAGTGTTTCAGAGATTGTTCTCTATTGAGTGGAAAGCCATGGCGGTGGTAAGTATTTTGTATTCCACTCAAGAAATTTGTGTTGTCCCTCCAGTTGACGGTAATAGGGCCATATTAGAGTTAGAGGTCCTGGATTTGAAGAGGTGCTATAATAAAGCCACGTAGCTCAAAAACTGTAGAATATATCATATTTTTCTTTGCATGTGACCACTCATTCCTGTGTTCCCAGAGTTCATGTTAGTGCCCAAGTCCCAGCTTGGGCTAAGAATGAAGAATTCCAGCCCCCCACAGACTAACCTGGTTACCAATCCAGCCCTCTGGGTTGAATACCACCCCACTTTCAGTGAGCCTGGGGCATTCGTTGTTTTAGCCTTTTTTTTTTTTTTCAAGCGACACTGCCTAAACTTCATAAAGTCAGCGTTATTACTACTAGTGTGTTTTTGTATATATTGCACTAATGGTATAACACCTTCCTTATTGTGCAGGATCTGTTTTGTCATTTTTACTGAGTAACATTTTTCTTCGTCTCTCTCTCTCTCTGTATGGGTGCTTTTGTTTTTTTTAAACAGCAGACCTTTCCTCAATGCCTCGTAGAACACCCTTGTATGGACAGCCATCTTGGTGGGGGGATCAAGATGCTCCAGGGAACACAAATAACCAAGAGAGTAAAGAAGCCAAACCTCATGATGCTAGTGCACCAGGTATAATATGTGAAGTTGTTTTATGTATAGCATGTAGATTTTGATTTTTGTATTACTATTCAGTGTTGTACATGAATATTAAAGAAAGTAAAATTCAGACAAAGACCAGAGCAAATGATAACAGATGGTGGGGATGAGGTCCCTGCCCCTATGTGCTTTATAGTCTATGGGGAGAGGGAACGCTAGATAATAGCTAAAGGAGATGGTATTGGAATAGCGGGAGGTAATGAGAGATTAGTGACTTGATAATGAATGGTCAGGATAAACAGGCAGACAATTTGTGAGTTCCACATTTCATTTGTGATTCCAAGTGGAGTAAAAAACCCATCCTGATCAGTTTATGAAAAACTGTTGAGAAACTGGTTGAATCAGTCAAAAGTCGAGCGGTTGTGGCCCTCTCAAGACCCCATTTTCAACAAAAGTCGTTTTTTTCAACTGACTTTTGTAGAGGTAGCTAGTTTGAAAAATCTCAAGCTTAACAGTAATTGCAGCCAATCCACTGCTGTCACTATCCGGGTGTTCTGACAGTGGCACACCCGCCTCTGGCAGGTGAGAGTCCTCCATCTACATTCTTTAGCATAGATGGGGGAATGTATAACAGCCAGTGTACGTCTAACTCCATTTTTATATAAATAGTAAGTATGTTTCAGAAGTGATTGTTTAAAAATTAGATGGCAGTTGGTTAGGAAATGTCAGAACATTTTTTATTAGATTGCACTATACATTTTGTAATTTTTTTGTTAGGTTCCTGCAAAGATGTCAAGAAAAGTACTCAAGTGGCAGCATTGAAAGAAGAAAATGCTAATTCTTTTATCAGAGAGCCAAGTTACTTTGAGATCCCTTCTAAAGAACTCCAACAATGTTCTGAAGGAGAAAATGCCACATATGAAATCCCAACGCAGGATCCCCACAGTTCTCAAGCTTCAGGGGCAGGCCATGCTTCATTTACAATTGAGTTTGACGAGACCTCCCCAGGTAAAGTAACCATTAAAGACCACATAACCAAGTTTACGGACCACCGTCAAAAATCAAAGAAGACTTTGTCTGCCGGAGATAAGGAACTGGCTGGGTTACATACAGAGATGATTGCAGCGGAAAGTAAAGTAGCTGATTGGTTGGCACAAAATAACCCACCAAGACTGTTAAAGGAAGCCGCTGAAGAAGACAGTAAAAGTATTAAAAGCGATGTCCCAGTGTACTTGAAGAGGCTACAAGGTAATAATGTAATATTGCTTTATAATATTTTCTGTCTCTTTTTAGTTTTCAGATTTTACTGATCTATCAGTATTAATATTATTATTATTCAGGATTTATATAGCGCAAACATTTGCCATCACATTAAAATATAAATGGAGACAGTACAATTCAAGACAAGATGGTTAGGTGTAGCAGGCGTTTGTACAGATGCAGCTCCTTTTTGTGTGCATGCCTATGAAAACAGCAGTGAGTGGCAAAGTTGGCATTCTGCTTGAACAATGTCTAGTCTTCCATGTTGTCTGCAATACTTCATACACACCAGGTCAAGGGAGAAGTATGTAAGCCACAGCAAATAGCTTTAAAGGAGAACTATGAGGTGAGTGGTTTCCACTCATCCTCATAGTTGGTGCCGACCTGTGACAAAGAAGCTGTCACAGGTTGGCTCTATTGATCGGGAAGTGAGCAGACACATGCAGCCATCAGTTCACTTCCCGATCGTCTTCCTGCAGTGAGTGGTGACTGTCAGTGACCGCTCCCCGCAAGGATTCTCCCCTCTCAGATCCTCCAGCACTGAGTGGAGGAACGGACAAGGGAGGGACCGGGCACAGCTGACTCTGCCTCTTGATAGCTGGGTGGATCACGACAGTATTGTCGGGATCCGTCCCGGCTGCGACGCGCTCAGTGTATAGCGAGCGATAGCCCACTATATACTGAGCTTTGAGTCACGGGAGGAGGTTAGTACGTCCTTTCGTGATACTAAGGCCTCATTCACACTACCGCGCATATACGCACGTATTGTACCATATGCAAATAAATGGCTCCATACACATAGCCGCGTATGGAGTTGTATATTTGCATAGCGTAAAAATGCACAAAAACAGAATGGAACCGAGATGCGTCCGGGCAGCGTATTTCTGCATATTTTAAGCGCATACGCATGTTTGCGCGTCTATGAGCGTATGTGCGTACAGTTCATTAAAATTTCTATTAGGAATGATGCATTCTGAGAATGCAAATAGTGCACGCATATACGCACATACGCTCGTATAGACGCAATATACAATTTTGCTCTTGCGTTGTGTGTGAATGAGGCCTAAAGAGAACTATGGGCAGATCCAAAGAAGCTTTGCTCTGGGCACAAAAACTTAGCCAAATCTATTCCTCAGTAGCTACAAATCATATAAATTCACTACTGCACCAAATGTCTTTGCAAACCCAGATATTAAAAGTAGTGGTAACATCAGTTGGCTGCACAAAGCTTATGCAGAGACCCTACAGGTCCACCCACTACACTACAGGCTTTCTGCATTAAACTACAGGAGGACGCGGATACAAGACCAGCCACCCTGCACAAGGAGAGAGCAGCAGTGATCGGTCCGTATTGCAGGAAATTCCTTTACATTAGAGAAGTTGTTTTTTTTTTATTGTGTATTCCTGGCCAGGTCTGAGAGAAACACACAAAGTACAGCAAGATTCAAGCAAGAATACATATGGCTCTTGTATTTAGACAATATTTGATTAGCTAGGATTTCCGTTCTAATTACAGGACCAGTAAACCTAAAATAATATTGTAGGAGAACTGTTAATAATGATCACAAATATGTATGAAAAATAAAATGAGTCAGAACTGTGCAGAAACCAAGATGTCTGACACAGAACAGAATTTTGCTGTCTATGCTGTTATGAGTCATTTTAAGAGGCTTAGATGTGGGATGTCCTGCTTGCAGTGGTATTGCTGGATAGGAAGTTGTGTGGGAAAGAGGAAACTATCTCTGGCTGCAATAAATGTATGTTTTGTATCAGATGTTTTAATAACATCTTATATCATGCATGCATTTTTTCTGCTGTTATTTCCCCTTCTATTCTCATATGTGGATGGTTACTGAGAGGCCTCTGTCAGTCATTGTTGCGGGCAGTCTGTTCTCAATCAGCACTGGGATAATGGGGTTAAAAGGCTGTCCATATGTACATTAATAAATAAACTATATACAGAATAAAGACTTTTAAAACATTAACATTCATTGATAGCACTGCTAATACAAACAAAATACATGGCCACAAGCACGTAGTGATGTATTTATAAATTGAGTGCAGAGCTATTTGCTCTGCGAAAGCCTAAGGCTAACCATACACTGCTCTGTTTTTCTCATTCAACCCGCAGGCTCGACCCGAAAAATAGAGCAGATATAGAATAGAATAGAGCCAGCCCCTGTCAGAATACCTGAGCAGAGGCGGAAGCTCAATGTCTGCCAGCTCTGTTTGTTAGATTTTCCGACCGACTGATGTTTGCTGATGACTGTTATAGCCTCATTCAATTTAGAGTTCTTATTAAAATTTGTGTAAACCCCTTATGATTAACTTCTCTTAATTGCTTCCTTTTCTGTTAAATATAGCATTGAAAGAGTTTTGTAATGCCTGTTTTGAGTGCAAAAATTATTTGTTGAGCCTGTTGTCAGTCACTGTTCCCTGCAGGGATTCCTCCTTCCCCTCTTTATTCCTCCAGCACTCATTGGGGGGGCAGACGGGAGGGGGGCGGCACAGCTGGCTCGAGATCCTTCCCGGCTGTGGCATAGCTCTATGTTGCCAGCAGATAGCTGTCAGTAGCCCGCTATACGTTGACTTTGGGTCACTGGAGTACATTAGTAAATGTGCTTCCGTGACCCAAAAGAGAAGTAAAGTCAAAAAAGGTTTGGCTCTATTTCTTTTTTTTTTAAACCCCTGTAATAAAAGGACAGAATATCTTTCACTTACATGTTGGATTTTTGGGTTTGGTTGGCGTTGGATTTAAAACATGTCCAAAGTATTACACCTAATTTTCAGGCAACAACGAGCATTTAAAGGAGCACTATGGGGTCAGTGCTCTTCCCCATAGTTCTCCTTAGGGTAACGGGAGGACACAAACTAGCGTCCTCCCGTCATCCAAAGCTCAGTATACCGCGAGCTACAGCTCGCGGTATACTGAGACGCGGCAGCCGTAACAGATCCCGACATTACTGTCTGGATCCACCCAGCTGCGTGAGTGACAGCTGGCTCTGCCCATCAGCTTGGGATAGATGACTAAATGGCTATTACTCACTCTGTGGGTGCTGATCACTCAGGGGTTGTTGCACATATACTGCAGCCCAGTCACTAGTTAATGTACATACCCTGCAGGTGCTAAATCTGGCTAGAGAACTCTGGTACAGGAAGGGCAATCTTTGTCACGCATGCACACTGGACTCCGTGACCAATGTCCATTGGAAGGTTATGGGCAGTGCTAATATGCAATTTATGTGGTGAAAGTCTGGAACTGCATAGTGATGAGACTTGGGAGGGGAAACTGAAAATTGTGTGTGCTGTAGGAGGCATACAGGAAAAAGACAAATCTGTGTGCTGAAGGTGGGATCTCACTGGGCAAAGACCATAAGCCCTCGTTCACACCTGAACGTTTTGTAGCGCGTTCTACGCTCGACGAACGCTCTACAAAACGCTCAAAAATATAATTCCCATTGTATTCAATGGTCTCGTTCCCACCTTGGCGTATTTCCGCCCGTCCCTAACGCGCTACAAAACGGCCCACGCCTGAAAAGGTACAGGTACTACTTTGGGCCATTTTTGTTGCGCATTTCCATTGGGATACAGCCAAGTAGCCTTCGGAAACGCGCGACGGTCGCGCAACTTTTTTACCGCAAATCGCGGTTAAAAAAAACCGCGCGACGGTCGCGCATATGCAATACGCCTAGGTGTGAACGAGACCTAAGGAGGGGGATTCAAACTTGTACATAATCTATAGGGTAGGAAGGAAGAATAATTTGTTTGTTTTAAAGTCATTATTCACTTCTTTATAGGCAACAAACATGAGGATGGGACGCAGAGTGACTATGAAAACAGTGCAACACCTAAGCATGCAAACAAGTGCACTAACTCACAAAATTGTGGAAGACAGACCACGTCTATAGAGCAGAGAAAGCTGGAACAGAAGCTTCAGACTGGAGGGAAGCAGCAGGAAACTGCAAGTCAGACTGCTTTTTTGATAGAGTTTTTGGATGATGACCACCCAAGAAAAAGACGCTCTTATTCTTTCTCTCTGAACACAAGCACTGCAGGCCCAGAAGCTCCATATCCAATCCCACAGTCAAGGATAGATAAAGTCAAAGCAGCTTCTGTTGATCCTAAAGGGCTGTGTTTGGGTTTACAGTCTGTTGCCTCATCTCATAGAGTAATTCATAGCACACAGCATGCAAAATTGCTGCTTAAACAGAAGTCTGAAGAGCCTTGCACATCTTTATTAGTTTCACAAAATGTTTTGTTGAGGAGCTCTGGAAGCCTTGGACATCGACAAGCTAATATGCGAATTACATCTGACAGCGCAGAATTGCCTTCCGTGGAAAAAGATCACAAGAGCAGTCATCTTTGTGAAAAGGCAAATAGCAAGGATGATGCAGGAGGACAATGTGTGACGGTAACCCAAATAACAGCTTTCAGATTCACAGCTAGTCTCAGACACAGGCCCATTCTGATTTTAAATGTAATATAAACTACAGTGTTTACAAAATGCAATTCCGTGTTCTGTAAGTGCTGAATACAGACAAAACTGCTCTTTCAACACTAGGAGAGTGCAGCAAATCACTATTATCTTTTCCTGTAAATGATGACTATGATGATATTGGGTTTTGTTACCTGATAGATTTCAGTACAGTGCATTCCAGGTCTGAGTTGGTTTTGCCCATGAGGTAGCACATTGCTTTAAAGGAAATGTGCACGTTTAATATATTTTCTAATGTACATTTATTGTATGTTGCCGGTCCTGAGATCCGATGCGGCCGGGACGGGCATGGCTCTGTGACAGGAGATCAAAGGGAGTTTAGTATACGAACTCCCTTTGATCTCCTCTCAGTCCCCGAATGCAGGAAGTGATGTATATCACATCAGCTAGAGAAGCTGATGATGCTGATCTCTGCTTCATCAGCTTCTCTGGGGTTCCCCAGGTGACATTAGGGGTCTTCAAGACCCCTGATGTCTCCATAAAGAGGACCTGTCATGTAAATTGGCTATCCCATAGGGGGCTTCTTAGCCCCCCCATGTAATAGCAATAAAGTTGTGTGGAAAAAAAAAAAAAGTAATACAAAAATGAAATGATAAAAAAAAATAAAGCATTAAAAAAAATTCAAAAAGAAAACATTTTTTTAAGCCCCCACATACACACGCAGATATGCGTCGGGTGCGCCTGCGTGCGAAAACGACGATTGCGCCTATTGTGCCGCACATGTTACATATCGCCGCAAACGTCGAAGTGAGAGCAATAATTTTAGAGCAAATTAATTTTAAATATATATATTTAATAGTCACCATTTAGAGCAACCAGGTGTTGTATTCCAAGTAGCTTTTCTCATCATTTTCCATATCGGTCCTGTGAGACAGACCAGAATAGTAGGGAGATTATATTACACTGTCTCCAGAGTGAGCCGAGGAGGAGGAAGACACCCCCACCCGCCCTCACAGCAAAGACGGAACCGTCAGGCTACAGGCCTGTATCAAAAGGCTTTTGCTTGCTTCAAGGGAGTTTTGCATTCTCATGGAAGTCTACGGGAATGCAAAACCTGCTTAAAGTAACTCATATGCAGAGTCCAAAAGCCAGTTGACATAGGCATTTATTCTGTTATCTAGGATGCATTTAAATATGCAGGAAATGCTGGGCTAAACAGTGCCTTAATGAAATGTAGCAGTAGCTTATCAATTTAATATTACGTCAGACATGCACTTTCATTTAGAGTGGGGTAGGGTTAGCATCTGTCAGTTTTTTTCATTGCAATCTGTGTCCCCATTTTGAAGATTTCCCCTCACTCCCTGTCTTGATGGCTGGTGTCACCAGGACTGGATTTGAGGGTAAATCTCCTCACCCGAAACACATGCTAACCTTAACCCCTTCATGACTGAGGCCTTTTTTTCATTTTTTGTACCCATGTTATATTCCACATTTTAGGCCTGAAAATTACTTAAAACCCCCCAACATTATAAAAAGTCGTTTAAACAGCCCCGATGCTGGCGACGTACACTGTACGTCGTCAGTCACGAAGGGGTTAAAGGTTATCGGGCAATGACAAATCAATACGATCCCTTGTTGAAGAAAACTGTCACCAGTGGGCTCTGACCAAGTTCAGTCTACGGAGTTCCTAGTGTTAATTGTCACAGCTTACGAGAAGCGATTCTCTTGGTTTCTTGTGTCCAAGGACCTGTAGCACTCCTTACCGGAACTCCCATACGTATTAGTGGGTGCTTGCAATGACTGCGGATGGCGCCGCACTCATCATAGTCTTGTGTAAAAACGTCACCAGCACGACAGAGACTTGAATGTCAGTGCAAATCCATTTATTGATGTCACTCAGTGTCATCAAGCGCTTTCGGGGCCACGCAGGGTCCCCTTCACCAGGCTCAGAGTAAACATCAAACGATCTACATTTGATGTTTACTCTGAGCCTGGTGAAGGGGACCCTGCGTGGCCCCTGAAAGCGCTTGATGACACTGAGTGACATCAATAAATGGGATTGCACTGACATTCAAGTCTCTGTTGTGCTGGTGACGCTTTTACACAAGACTCTCTTGGTTTCTTGACACCCCCCAAGGTTTCGGCCCTTGGGTTTGCCTCACCATCAACAGCTAACAGTACTCCTTAGGCCCCGTTCACATATAGCGACATACCTTTTGCAGCGGATCCGCACGGCCGGGATAGCGCGACTTTCGGGGCGACGATCCAGCGACGGTAGCGCGACCTTCCCCGTCGGGCTCCATAGAAAAAAAGTAAAATCGCGCAAAATCCGCCGAAAAAAGGGTCCGGTAGAAGCGACTTGCGACCGCGACGCGCGACATGGAGTTAAGACAGCTCCATTGAATAACATTGGCCGGCGACTTCTTGCGATATCGCGCGGCAAAAATGCGCGATATCGCGGCGGAAATCGCGCGACAATTCGCTATATGTGAACGGGGCCTTAAATCAAAATCTTGCATTGCATTGAAGACTGTCTGCTCAGCTGTTCTAATTTTTATCACATTGTACAACTTGCTGCACCACTAGCTAAATCTTTCAAGTTTCTTGTATTATATCTTTTCAAAATGCCAAAAATAGGACCAGCATGTTTGCTAAATCAGACAACCCCTACTCTTAAAGCCCCACTTCTAAAGGGTTTAGATAAAACTCAGATTAACCACTTCAAGGCCAGGTGTTTAGACCCCCTTCCTGGCCAGGCCATTTTTCAGTATTCAGCGCTGCGGTACTTTGACTGACGTTTATTCCGTCATGCAGCGCTGTACTGAAATGAATTTTATACCATTTTTTGGGGACAGATAGAGCTTTATTTCGGTGGTATTTAATCACCACTGGGGTTTTAATTTTTTACTATAATTAGGAAAAATTACAGAAAATTTGGGGAAAAAAAAAGTTTTTTTTAACATTATGTTAGGAAACATTTATTATTACCCAGTTTTTTGGTAAAATATAAAAGATCGGGGTCACGTCGGGTAAATAGACACCAAACATGTCAAGCTTTAAAATTGCTCGCACCCGCGAAATCGCAGAAAATTACCGTACCCAAAATTGGCCATGGGCGACGCTTTAAAAGCTTTTACCGCTCATCAGTTTAGGGTTATCAGTGATTGATGGCCCTACAATTATTGCTCTCACTCCGACGTTCGCGGCGATATGTAACATGTGCGGCGTAATGGGCAGGACCGATCGGCACCCCATACACGCGATCCGCCGGCTCTTGTCGCTTGTATGGTGACGGGCATCACTGCCTGTTTTTAAATTTCGGCCATTCCCCGCCGTTTTTTTACTACGGCCGGCCCGGAGGTGGTTAAAGAGAACTTTGACAATGGATTTGACTTTAGTGGCATTGTTTCATGATTAGAATTTTCTCTTTACGGAGGGATTTTACTTAATTTCTAGATTTGCTGTTTATTCTTTCTTTCTTTGTTTTAGGAAATGTCTTCATCTAGTAAAAAACGTTGGGCATCACAATGGGCCAGTCTGGCTTCTAATCATGTGGGACAGGATCAAGATAATGGACAGAATGACTGCAATATTTCACCTCCTGCTGAAAATGGTACTTTTTTGGCATTTTTGAATACTACTACTAGACATAATATTGTTGTTTTGCTGATATTAGTGTGGATGCACCCTAGAGAGGTTTCAGATCTAATTTTTATGTGAGCATGTTGAACGGACTTTTGAAAAATGCTTGGTATCACTGTAATGATTTAAAGTGGAATTGTTACAGTCGGTCAGTGGAAAGTAGGGGATTGAATTTACTTTTTCATAGGTGGCAAAAAGTGATAACCTAATCTTTATTACTCCTGAATCCTGTTGGCCTCGATGCATTTGAATGGAACTCCAAACTGATATATAAAGCAACACTAGCCAATCCAATAATGCTATTTGAGTTCTCAGAGGTCCCTTTATGTAGCCAAATGTATGCTTTACCTGTATAATAAAAGACTATAGAAATGATGCCACAGTCTCTGCTATAGGCAGACCTTGTGTTAGGTGCTCCTGCAGAAAACAACCAATCTATGTATAAGAACACCACAGACCCCACTTGTTGCCCTCCACACTACAGACCTGTATCGTTATGGCTCATAGCTCCTAGTATTGCCCACTCTTCAGACAGATCTGTGCTGTGTGACAGGGGCGGACAGGAGAGATATTTCAGTTTCTGCCTAGATTCATCTTCACTTATTCACATTTCTGTTTTTCCAAGTCTCCCAGGGATGTAATGTGGTGAAGTAGGAACCTGTATCAGTACTGTAATGTATAGGGTTTACTAAATCTCTCCCCTGCACTAGTGTCATAGTGCCACTATGCATCTGGCCAGCTTGGTGGGACCTTGGGTTTAATCACAAATTGAAGAAGATCTGAAATGACAGCACATACTTTCATTGTAGAATATCAACATTGTATTAGAAATAAAACAAATTTAGGGTTGCACAGACACCAAGTACAGTACTCGGTACAAGTACGAGTACAATTACCGATACTTTTGAACTCCAAGACTAGACTAGAGAAAAATTAAAAAGTTAGGAGGCAGCTGCCATTTATAAGGAGTACACGGAGCTCCTGGGATTTGTACATCTCTGTTTTAATGTACGATTTTGTTTTTATAAATATAAATAAAGGGATGCACAGATACCAGTTTTACGAGTACTGGTACTTGCCGAGTACTTACAAGTACGAGTACTGATACATTTTTGTTGTCATGTGACAGTTTTTCTAAATCAATACAGACTAATGATTTCAGGACAGTGGTGGAGCGCCAGAGCCAGGTCCCAGCTGCAACCGCTGCAACCCTGGTAGTTCTTATAAAAATGCCAAGTATCTGCACTGGTACTCAAAGTATCTGTGCATCCCTTAACAAATTATAGTTATTCTTGGTAAGCCAAGCTTACTTGAAAAATCTCCTTTTAATGTTGTAAACACTGCCTATTTGTTGGTCAACTCTTTCAACAACTTCCTGGATTCCCTGCATACTTTGCAGCTTCTCTGCTTATTCCTTTTGTTTGCTTTTGATTTCTTATGACTACAAATGCCTTGGTACCTTGCTGCCTGCACACAGTGAGGATGTGTCTCTTGAATCTCCTCCTTGGCATCTCTGTAGTTCAAAAGGCAGGCATAGTAAATGTGTCACTGCATTCAGGGAAGTAAATGTGTGGGATTCTATGGGATAATATGATTTTACATTTTTGGCCGTTGATGAACTTTTAGTAGTTGGACTGTGAAGTTTGCACAGAGAAAATTATGTGTAACATGCTGTCTACTTGCTTTATATTTATGAGAACTGCAGTTTAACTTTGAGCACACTGGGGGGAAATTACCAAAACTGGAGCAGTTGCAGATGGCAGCCAATCAGCTTCTCTCTTCAGTTTGTTCCAATGAAGCTGACTGGTTGTCATGGACAGTTGCTCCAGATTTTGTCTGCTCCAGTTTTGATAAATTCCCCTCACTGTTTATCCATTTTTGCATTTATTTTTACATACACCTAGCTGAGTTTGTCCTGATGTCAGTTTCCTATAATTCCATGCACAGCAGCATTTTATACTGGAATCATTTTTGAGACAACCAGGGCTGTATTGCTTTGCCTAGTTCTTCTTAGCTGAGAACTGAACATGGTAACAGGAGCTGCTGCTCCCTCATTGTCCAATCACAGGCTGAGGAAGGAGATGCAACTTCTTAATTTTGTCTGTAAACGTGCATTATAGAACCAAAGGATAGCACTTCATAGGTAATAGAAATGTAAACAACTTCCGTGTTTTACTTTTTTTTGGTTGTCTACTTTAAGAGTTGACCTTGAGGGGGAAAAGGGAGGTTAAGGCCACACTTGTGATCTTGTCCCTGGTAAAAAAAAAATGACCAGCGCCACTAATACATGCAAGGGGAACACTCACCTGCTTTGAATATGTCGCTCCCTAGTCGGCTACAGCGGCGAGTCTTGCTCTCTCGCTGCGAGAGATACTTCAGAATGTAAGTTGCTGCTTGGAGAGTTCCGCCTCATTTACCCAGCTGGCTAGGGAGCGACACATGCAAGCAGGTGAGTGTTTCACCTCCAAGTGGTGTTTCCTTAATTGTGATCCTACCACTTGTGAATTCTCACCAGTGGCAGGATCGTAGGTATGACATCCGCCTAAATCTTTTGTGCCTTTTATAATAATTAGGAACAAGTATTCAAGCTATTAAATCCAATTGTAACTGATTTTCTTTAAAAAGAGTAACATTATTTGTTTCAAAACAGAATATGATCCAGTTAATTATAAAACGAACTACTTGACTTTAACAACTTTCACATATACAGTATGTGGAAGTGAGTTGGGTTTATGCTTTGTGGTCATTGTAAATTCAAAAAACAGTAAGTGAAACTAGCTTGCCATGTTTGTATTTTGATTGTGGGAACGTTATGTTTTTATTATTCAGGAATTAAATCTTAAAAATGCATTCAAGTACCTTTAACTATTAACAATACTGGACCTTATTTCTGTATCACTGGGCTGTAGATCTTCAAATCATATCTTATTACTGCTGAAACTGTCCTTCCTTCTGGAGGGTGGTTACTTTTGTTCTCTGTTGTCCCTGTGTGTGTTGTAAAGTAGCCACCGCTCCAAGCTCGCTTCCAAGATGGATTACTATCTCACGCTTTTTTTATTCATTTGCATTGAGATTGTAGTCCATTATGGAAGCAAGCTTGGAGCGGTGGCTACTTTACAACACATACAAGGACCATGGGGAACAAAAGTAGCCACCCTTCAGAAGGAAGGACAGTGTCAAAGCGAATTCAGAGATGATTTAAGGATCTACAGCCGAGTGATGCACAAATAAGCTACATTTTTGTTAATGGGTAAGGTACTTGATTGCATGGTTTAACTTCTAAGTTTAGTGTCACTTTAAGTTTACACATTAATTCTTGATGAGCAAAAAGATGTCTTGCTATTGTGTTTCAGATGCAGATATGAGTGAATCTGGTATGTCACTTAAAAGTAGTGGATCTGCTGCCTCAGTGACTTGTGCAAGCGATCGTAAAAGGAGAAGTTTACCAAAGCTTCCAAAGGAGGAAACAAATGCTTATGTTTCTACAAGTAAACAAGCACATAGGTCAGATGTTGGAGAAAAACAAGATACAGAGTTACAGGAGAAAGAATCACATGCCCGTTTAGGTAAGAAAGACAAGCTATATGTTTCCAATGGAAAAGCTAGAACGAAGCAAGATAAACCTACGGAAAGTTCAGTGGATAAAACTGGAACCATAATGGATTATACTTATTTAGGATTTGACGCTAAGAAAGATGCCTTACTTTCTGCAAGGAAGCACGCAGTACACAAAGCCCACCTTGAGCAAATGAAAGATCAGTTGATTTCTGCAAAGCTGTTCAACAAGCCACCAGTTATCCAACCAAGTGATTCAAACTCTCCTAATGTCTACAAGCAACAGTCTTCTGAAACCTCCCAGAAAAAGGCTGCTCAGAAAAGTGAAGTTGTTTCAAACAGCAATAGCGTCAAAAGCGTTGAAAGTGATAGAAAGGAAACGTCCAGGCCACTTGTGAGACAAGGCAGTTTCACTATAGACAAGCCTAGTTCAAACGTACCTATAGAACTTATTCCACACATTAATAAACAACCTGTGCTATCACCTAACTTTCCCTTTACTTCTGTGAGCAGTGTCAGAGGGAGAAGCGACTCCGTAGACACGGACTCCAGCATGGATACCACTCTACTTCTCAAGGATACAGAAGCAGTCATGGCTTTCCTTGAAGCAAAGCTCCGAGAAGATAGTAAAATCGATGATGATCCACAAACACCTAGCTACAACCAGGAAAATTCTATATCCCCTGAATCAGATGTTGATACTGCAAGCACTATTAGTTTTGTTGCTAATGACGCAGATAGAAAATGTCCCCAGAAGCGAAAGACTCTTACCAGCCTGCACAAGGATAAATCCTCAACATCATCCCCCTCCAAAGAACCCCTCAGCTCATCCGTATCCATAACCCGTGAAAGAAAAAGTAAAACTCATGTTAGGGAGGCTGGAAACAGAAGTGATATCCAAAAAGTTCTTCGAACTAGTGCAAAGAACAGACAACCATCTCTTGACTTGACAGATGATGATCAGACCTCTAGTTTACCTTGTTCTACTGTGTCGGATATTTTATCTTCTGATCAAGAAACATATTCTGGAAGGTCACACTCCAAATCTCAGTTTGCCTCTGTTGATGACAAGTTTACCAATATAAAAACTGCTGCAGCTAACAAGCCTGTTACACTCCCTAGGCCTCGTCCAACAAGGACTTCACTTTTACGCAGGTCACGATTAGGTGAAGCTTCAGACACCGAGGTTGGAGATAATGATAGAGCATCTGTTGCCTCAGAAGTATCAACAACAAGTTCAACATCAAAGCAAACAGCTACTAGGAAACAACTTTCAAGAATAGATTTGCTTGCACAGCCTCGTAGAACGCGGCTTGGTTCTTTATCTGCACGCAGCGACTCAGAAGCGACAATAACAAGAGGTTCTGGAGCGTCACGTGCTTCAGAATATGCAGTTAGAAGTAATGCTAAAATGACTCCAACAACTGATGGGAAAGGTTCTCCACGAGCCAGAGCTAACAGTATTTCTCGCCTATCAGATGCCAAGACAAAAGTGGTTCCACCTGTTCATGGTTCTCTTGCTGGTGAGTTTTCATGTTTATCAAGTGTTTTTGTGAGTAGTATGTTTTGTCGTCAGTGAATTAAGCTGAATACAGCTGTGGAGAGTTATAAGAAACAGACAAAGACCCAGTGCGGTCCATCCAGTCTGCTTTTTCTTTAAGCACATTTGTCTAAGTATAGACCTATGTTTCTCCCAAGCATGTTTACCTTCACTTAAAGAAGCACTCCACGAAACATTGTTATTAAGCCTTGTGATGGAGCTGCCCCCACACTGCAAGGGTTAAGTGCTCATTTGTGTCTAGGTGCTTAAAAAAAAAAAATTATACTTACCAGACCATGCGAACCAGATTGTTCTTAGACCGCTGTCTGGAATGTGTCTCCCCCTCTGTTGCAATGGTCTAAAGATCCTGGGGTCATCACGCTCTATACACTGTGCATAGATGTGAGGACGCTTCAGCCGGCAAAGGGGACATGCTTCACAGTCTTCAGTGATCACAGAAGCAGGGTGCCAACTCGGATAGTCTGGTTAGTATAACTTTTTCTTTTTTTTAGCACCTAGACAAGAAGAGCCCTTAACCCTTGCAGTGCATGGGGTAGCCCCTCTGCAAGGATTAATACAATTTTCAACTGGAGTTCTTTAATAATGGCACACTACCTCTTCTAGAAGTCTGTTCCAAGTATACACTACTACTCTTTTTGTAAAATAATGCTTTCTAACATTACTTTTGAACTTTGCTCTGCTAGTTTGCTAGTTCATTAAAGTAATATTGTAACGTAAAGTATAACTACACTTTTACTGATAAAACAATAGTCCTTCCCTGGTCAATTGCTTAGATTGCAAGGATTTAAGAATTTGAATCACTGCACAGTCCTACTTTTTGCTGTTTACTTTTGGACTCGCTTCCCTTTCCTTGCAGCCACTTCCTGCTTGTGTGCACACACACACACACACACACACACACACACACACACA